ATTATAAATTACTCTGTCGCATAATTTCTGTCTGTTTGAAGTTGGCAGCCAAAAGACAAGCACAGGAGACAGACTCCATTGTGTCGCCGGAGTTATCGCCGTTCTGTCTGAAAGCAGGAAGTATTCGCCGCAGTAGAAGAAGAAGATCTCACAGGACTCTTTCAGAAGAGACAGCAGCTGAAGCTGCTGAGGAGAGGCTGGAGCCAGTGGATGAAATTGTGGTACAACAAACAAGTTTCACCCAGTTGTTGAGGTTGTACCCTACATTAGCTAATGACTTCCTCCCGTTTGTCTTTCTCTCTCTGTAGCCTCCTCTGTCCCCTCTGCCAGTCCACCCTCTGCTGGCCACGCTCTCCTCTCACCCCCTCAGCACCAGGAGAGCCAGCCAGAACAGCATCTTCAGCTCCTTCCGCCCTCGCAACAACTCGGAGGCTGACTTCGCGGACGACGAGTACAGCGTCCACGGGGACGTCTTCAGGAGTCGCGCCAGTTCAACCGTAACGCCCTGGAAGAAGAGGACGGGCAGCGTCAGAAGCCACTGCTCCCAGGTGTTGACCCCCAGCCTCAACATCAACGGACGACTCAACGTCTTGCTGGACCAGAACGGCATCGCCGCCATGGGTCTGCTCACCCCGACCTGCGTGCCGACTCACAGCATGGAGAAGTTGAAGGAAGAAACAGTAAGAACAGAACAGACAAAATACCCAGGTGTTTCGCATTAAATGGGAGAAAATAAGGCTAAAACGGTTAATCACCTTAATTACGGTGAATGAAGATTAATTGATTATTGGACTAATCATCAACTTGGCTGATTAGAAATTGATTAATTGCAAGGTTTCCCCCAGAAAACCTGCTAAGCCCGGTGGTTGGGCGCTATGGTGGTCATTCATCCAGCGACCTGTTGAATTTTTGAGTTAAAAAATGTTTAAAGTTGACAGGAAATTTGAAAATATCACTTTATAGTTATGTATTATTGAAAGATTGGAAGACTAATACCTGAAACACCAACTATAGAATCTTAAAAAATGCAAACATTTTAAAAAGACTTAAATAAATAAGCAATGCTTAGCCTGGAGGGGGGCACAAGTAAAGCCTGGTGGCCCGCCAGGCTTACAATACACTGGGGGAAACCCTGAATTGTTAGCTGGAGTACACAGACTCCACAAAAGGTTATCTTCTGAATCAACAACTTATTTGGAAGAATAACTGCAAAATATATATACATTTTATAATTAAGATAAAAACACCTGAATCTGTAAATATATTGTACCCAAAACTCTTCAAGTTTTAGCTTCACCTGGTTCAAATTCACCAAATGAATCCTATTGTATTGCATTTTAAGCAAAAAAAGTTTATTTTTTTATTTAAAAAGAAATTTTATGATTTATTTGCATCTTTTAATGTATTTTAGCATCGCATTAAAAAAGTCATAAGAGGTTAATTAAAAAAATCTGCAAAATGTGCCAGTTTTTTATCCGATTATTCAGTTGGATAATTAGGAGAAAAATCAATTATGAAATCAGTTGTTAGCTAGAGCCCTAAAAGAAAACAAGTATCGACCAAAGCAATATATTGGAGGACATTTATTTATTCCTTGTCTGCCAGAAGCCATGCAGCGGAGTGGATCCGGCCCCCAGGCCTCTGCTGCAGCCTTCGCCCAGCGTCACGGAGCGCTGCTCTGTGCGCAGGAAACGAACTCACAGCTCCTTCAGCTTCTTCAGCGACGCCATGGATGGTGGGTCCATTTCACTCCTCCAATAATATCCAGGAAACTAATTGAAAAAATTATTATTATTATTTATTTATTTTTTTTACTTTTCCACCTGATTCGGGTTTCTCTTGCAGAGCTGGAGGAATCAAGGCAGAAGTGCCCCCCTTGCTGGTACGCCTTCGCCAAGAAGTATTTGATATGGGACTGCTGCCCCTGGTGGCTGAAGTTAAAGGAGTGTGTGAAGTTCATGGTGATGGATCCTTTCCTGGACCTGGGGATCACCATATGCATTGTGCTGAACACCCTGTTCATGGCTCTGGAGCATTACCCCATGACTGATGAGTTCAACACCATGCTGTCAGTGGGCAACCTGGTAAGAGACTCTTCAGTGATAGGAGCTGGAACATTTCCTGCATTCAGCCCACTTTCCCTCAAGTGCTGTCAGGTTAGCAGATACGAGCCGGCTGAAGAGGAAAATGGTTTTCAAAACTGATATTGTATTTCAACAATTGACGAGAAGGATGGGGTTTTTTTTAGCTTCTAGGATGATGGGTCCAAGGTCCTGTTGTTGAGACATTTGCCTTGTGAGAAGCAATGTTTCATCAGGAAATGGTGGGCAGATTTAGTGTATTTGTATAGTAAAAGTTAATAACACTATTATTATCCCCTCAAGTAGGGGTGGGTGATGTCCACTGTAAAAAAAAGACTCTACTTTACAGTAAAGTAAAGTAAGTATTTTACCTAATACCTACTTAGGTAAAAGTAGGTATTTTGTGGTTGCCAGAATTTCACAGTGTTTTTTTTTTACTGTAAAATTAAGAGTTTTATCAGGATATTTTGTGGCAATATTGTGATTACGATAAAAGTGACCTTGAGAACCATTTTATTACTTGTATTACACAACACCCAGAAACACAAGCCAAAGGATAATCAATGAGGGACTAACATCCATCATTTGTTAAAACGACTCAAGCATTGTTAACGTCACAGTTGGCTATTTTATAAACTTTAAAACGTCTTTATTTTTGGATGGAGCACACACAAGCCAATGTTTGTTTACACAGGAAATGGAGGTCTGGGTTATTGATCCTCATAACTTTAGAAATTTAGAACTGTTCCTTTCCTGTTTATTTTGTTCAGGGCAGTAACTTAACCCTTTTTTTTCATTGTATGCAATTCTTGGGTTGCAACGTTTTAAAATTGCACGATTGATTGGGCCTTAAAGCCTAAAAAGTAGACATTTTGCAGTAATTGATGAGGAAACTGTTGTATTTTTAGAGGTAGATACGAATTAAAGGGTTTCTAATCCAACAATGTCCTCTGTGTATTTTAAAGAACTATAATGCTGATATAATATAGAGCAAATTCTTTCCAGGTTTTCACAGGGATCTTTACAGCTGAGATGGTGTTGAAGCTCGTTGCCCTGGACCCATATTACTACTTCCAGCAGGGCTGGAACATCTTCGACGGCGTCATCGTCTGCCTCAGTCTGATGGAGCTGGGCCTTTCCACAGTGGAGGGACTGTCTGTCCTGCGCTCTTTCAGACTGGTACAAGAAACCTTCCGCTCTCGGATTGTGTTGCATTGTTCCGCTTTGCATTGTTCAGATAGATAATAACAAACAAACAAACACATGTTTATCTGTTCTTTATCCATCAGCTAAGAGTGTTTAAGCTGGCAAAGTCCTGGCCTACTCTCAACACTCTCATCAAGATCATTGGGAACTCTGTGGGCGCCCTGGGGAACCTGACGCTGGTGCTGGCCATCATTGTTTTCATCTTCGCCGTGGTGGGCATGCAGCTGTTTGGCAAGAACTACCAGGACTGCGTGTGTAAGATCGCCTTTGACTGCCAGCTGCCCCGCTGGCACATGAAGGACTTCTTCCACTCCTTCCTGATCGTGTTCCGGGTGTTGTGCGGCGAGTGGATCGAGACCATGTGGGACTGCATGGAAGTGGCCGGCCAGCCTCTCTGCATCCTGGTGTTCATGTTGGTCATGGTCATAGGGAACCTGGTGGTAAGTCACAAACAATTACTTTGTTCACTTTGACCTATAGTCTCACACCTGTTGAGAGTAAATAATTCTGTTTTAGCTAGTTGCAAAGCTAAAACTAAAGGAAATGACATGTTAGGAAATGTCCTCAAAGCTAAAGTTAACGCATCTGACACACTAGCTTAGATAGAGGCTAACAAAAAGAATGACAAAGTTTTGTTTAATGCCATTTTGTCCTGCTAGCCCCTAAAGGTAGCATGAGAAATGGACCAGCTGTATTTTGGTAATGAAATTCAACTCACTGACTCTTCTTCAACCTCATACATCAAGAACTCAGCACGGAGAAAGGATAATTCTCCTTGAAACAGTGTTTCAAGGGTCCTACTCCCAAGAAAGTCCATTTTTCATACTGAACCATTTTGTTCACCTACGTCATGTCTGACATTATCAGTTTAGGGCAACGAAGCCAAGAGACGCACCTTTTTTTTTTCATTAAATCCTTATTTCACCATAAAACTACACTGTACTCTTCAATTTAGGTGCAAAACACCTCAGTCAATTTAGTTACATTCAATTACACAAATAAAAATGTCTATTTATTTATTCTCAACTCACAATTTCCTGGTTTTAATCCTGACGTCTCAGACGTGTCGATAGTAATCCATGGCAGACATTTTTAGAGTTTGTTCTCAAGCGAAAGATGACTTTCATCCATAGATTATGAATTTCAGGTGATACTAGAGCGCTTTGATGGAAGCATGGTACTTTCATGTACAGTGGACCTGGGCGGGTTAGGAGCCACAATTAGATCAAATCTGTAAATACTTGAGATTACCTCTAGAAACACTTATGTCTGATTGTTTTAATAGTTTAAACATCAAATATAACTTAAATCTGCAGCGGGTACGTTTTATAAAAAATACTGATTTTTGTGTTTGTTGAATTTGTCACCATATTGTGACAGTTTGGTGTCAGACAGACAATATGTGAAAAAATCGATCTCTTCCACCTTCTCCCAGTGCTAACTAGAAATGTTTTTATTTAATAATAATAATAATAATAATTATAATTATAATAATTATAATAATAATAATAAATTTAATTTATAATGCACTTTTCATTAATAAAAATCTCAAAGGGCTTCATGGTTCATCTAAAAACATAAAATCAACAATCAAAAACAATAAAAAAAAAGACTGTCAAATAAAAGTGGAGAAGGCTTGTCTAAAGAGGAAAGTTTTCAAACCAGTTTTAAAATCGGACAATGATTGCGGGGCTCTCAAATAGTCCGGGAGAGAGTTCCAAAGACGAGGAGCAGCCACAGCAAATGCTCGATCACCCATAGTCCTTAGTCTTGATCGAGGAAGATGGAGAAGATTGCTGGATTGGGATCGTAGGGGTCTAGAAGTTGAGTGTGAAGTAAGGAGATCCTTCAGGTAATCCGGTGAGGCTCCATGTAGACAGTGATGGGTGATAAGTGCAATTTTATACTGAATCCTATAAGTTACAGGAAGCCAGTGAAGCTTGTAAAGAGTTGGTGTGATGTGATCAAATTTACGAGCTCTCACTAGCATCCTACATTTTACATTTTAATACCAATGTTATTTTTTTATACCCTGCAATAAGTGACCTTACAACTAAACCTGTCTTTTGAGAGTTGACTAAGTTTTAGATGTTTCCATTTCCATTTTTATTATTTATCTTTGGTTATGAATTCCAAATCTTTGAGGTTGGAAAGCCTCTGCGTCATCACCCTAATCTTCAACTCCTTCCACTGATTCTCTATCAGATTCAAGTCAGGACTCTTTCTGGGCCTCCACAAAATACTAATATTACTTCCAATCAGAAGAAATATGTTGGCAACATTAAAATATTGCTTCAAATCTGCCAGGGGGGTGAATAATTGTGGGATAAACTGTAAATATTTTGGGTAGGGAATGGAAAACTCTTGGATTATGTGTCTTTTTTTTCTCTGTTATTAAAAATGATCAGGGTTTATCTTAGTCAGTCACATTAAACTCTTAATACCTCACACATAAGAGGCAGACTTGTATTTAAGACGCGCTACTGCTTCTTCTAGCTGGTGGAAAAGCAAGAGAGCGGCCGGTCGGCATGTAGCGGTTTCTGTTGCATTGTTTTACGTGCAGATCTCATTAGTGCCTGTCGGCTGCCATGCTAGGTCAAAAATCCACTTAAAACTGTTCTCTTATTGGATTTCACTGCACAGAAACCTTCTGTAGATGATAATCGTGAGGAAGCAGACTATCTAAAGGTTAATCCAGGGTGCTTTGGGGGGGCGAGAAGAGGCTGTTTATCACAAATCATCCCATAACTGTGTGGCTCAGCAGCTAAAGATGATCCTTACCAACTGTGCGTGTCACACACACGCACACACACTTCCTGTTCTTGTGTGTGTGCGTGTGTGTGTGTGTGTGTGTGTGCGTGCGCATACAGCCCACACACACCAAGCCAGCTGACAGATTACTTTTATGTCGTGTCCTTTGTGCCTTGACTTAAAAGGGGGATGAAACAGCTGATTCCATATGTGATCATATATTGTTGAATAACCTCCTGAGCTACCAAGCAGGATTTAGCGATGTTGACAAATACGTGAGACACGTCCGGTATTATTTTTACTCACTCCTTTATGTGCAAAGCCTGTTTCACGTTGTGCTTTTACAGCACAATTGCACAGTGAAGATATGAATATGATTTAATCTCAATAACTCCATTCTTGCTCTACTTATCAGCTTCTGACAAGTTTTCATTCCCCATTCAATCGTTCAATGAACCACAGCCAGTTTCCCTGTCTCTGCTCAAGAAAAGCCTCCCCTCAGTATGATGCTGCCACTGCCATGTGCTACTGCCTGAACCATAAATTCTCCCGGGAGTTATTGTGATAAACGACAACATTTGTTGTTTTGAGAGAGCTTTTCAAGCAAAGTATTGATAATGTAATGGCAAGTCTCCAAAACCAATAAACTCTGATTTTATAAGGAACACTTGTCACTGGAACTGGAAGATATTTCAAATATCCAAAATAAAACCCAACAACTATTAAAAAAAGGAAATTAAACCGTGAATAACGTGGATTATAAACAGAATTGTCCTTCAAAAAATACTAAGCATCAGAATGGAAATTATCGAGCTCATTTTAATTTATCAAGTTAAGTTTATTTCTGTAGCGCATTTCAGCAGCAAGGCAGATCAAAGCGCTTTACACCATAAAAACATCATGCAGACATCACAAGGTTTCCTTCAGAAAAATCACTAAGCCCGGTGGTTGGGCGCTAATCCAGCAGTCTGTCGTGTTTTTGAGTTAAAAATGTTTTAAAGTTGACAGGAAATTTGAAAATATCACTTGATAATTATGTGTTATTAAAATATTGGAAGATTAACAGCTGAAAACCAACTAGAAAGTCTTCAGAAAAAAACGTTTTAAAAAGACTTACAAAACATAAAAAGAAATGCTAAGTCTGGCACAAGTAAAGCCTGGTGGCCCGCCAGGCTGATGATACACTGGGATAAAACCTGCATCAACTATAAAACAAGCAATAAACATTACATTCTGTCAGATACCATAATTAAAATCAAATATGTTGATCAATATTTCAGTTTCTACTAATCAAAGGCCGTTCTAAACAAGCGGCTTTTAGCCTTGATTTGAGGACCTCTGTTTTTCTGCTTACTGTGCGATTAATTGATTAATTGCACAATTTATTGCAACAGGCTTACATATGTCATGTTCTGTTCAGAGTGATGTTGTAAGTAGCTTCGTGTTTCACATAAAATCCCACAAGATATCTCTAAGTTTGCGGATTTAAAGTGATCAAATTTGGAAAGCTTCAGGATGCACCGATGCTTTTTGAACGGGGTTTTAATTGAAAATCTGTATTCTTAACAGAATTTGTCTAACCCTTGTATAAAATAACATGTTTTTCCATCCCCAGGTGCTGAATCTGTTTCTTGCCCTGCTGCTCAGCTCCTTCAGCTCCGACAACCTCTCCGCTCCTGAAGAAGACGGGGACCTGAACAACATCCAAGTCGCCATCGGCCGCATCCACGCCGGCATGTCGTGGCTCTGCGGGAGCGTCGTTGACCTCTTCAGCCACGGCTTCAGGAGTCAAAAGCAGAAGGCCAAAGAGGCCGGTCAGGCTGAGCAGATGGTCGGAAATCACATAGAGAGCAACGGGGGGATAATCGGAAGCTACGGAGAAAAGTACATCCTGCCTGAAGAGGATAGTTACATGACCAACCCCAACCTTACCGTCGTGGTTCCCATCGCTCCTGGAGAGTCCGATGTGGAGTTTCTGGAGGAGGAAAATTCAGAGTCGTCAGAGGATGAGGACAAGCCGGTAAATTCAGATTCTCTGGCATTTTATATTTTGTTCTAAAAATAATTTTTCAAGAAAATAGGACTTAAAAAACTCTGATTCCCTTTGCTAATTGGCTTGAATTCTATAGAACAGTATCTATTGTTTGTGTTTGATTTTGTTTGTGTTTTGCGTTGCATTATTCTGCACAACAAGGCTCCTGCAATGTTACGACAATGTTGCTTCTGACTCGCTTACAAACTGCTAAACAAACTACAACATAACCTGTAACCTGCTGCGAATCCTCTCCGCTTTCATCTTAACTCTGAGCACCCGAAGAAAATTTCACTCAAGCGTTTTGTCACCTCACACAATTGTTAGTCTTCACGCTTTAAAGCTAAAACTTAGTTGAAGCTTCTCCTAATTCATTTTCTTGCATTCACTTCTGCCAGAAATTATACTGACTGTGACTGAACTGAAATAAGTCCAGATATCCTTTGGTGTATTTTCCCAATTTTCCCACATTTTGCTTCTTTTATCTGAATCAATAGTTTGCTGAGGGGTTACAAAGGATCAGAAGGGTCTCGTTGTACAAAATTGTTCTGGTGAGATCCTGGAAAGCTGCTTTAGTTTAAGAATGGGCACATTTAAGAATTGTTTGTTTTTAGCAATTTTTTTCTAAAGGTGTGGAACAATTTTTCTGGAATTTTAACAGGGCTGTGTACCACTCGGTGTAAAGCAAAGTTGGTGAACTCACACGCAAAGATGTGTACAATCATCCTCTTTTAGCTTTTTATGTTTTGTCAAAAACTTTGTGCTTTATCACAATTTTATGCAATAAATAAATTTAAAGTAGAACCAATAGCCCTCAGCTGTCACTCAATTAGCTCTTTGAAGATCTTTAAATTTTCTTAAAAAATATTTGAACAAACAGAATCATGTAGATCAAGAAACACACCAGGGATTTAAAAAAACAACCTTGAGGCTGAATACAAATGCATAACAAATTTAATTTTTTTTTGTAAAAATATGTTTGCACGGAACTGTAACTACTTTGAGTACAACTATGACTATTAATTAGTAGTGCAATTATTTGTTTTCCAGTTGAATTGAACAGGAGATAAATGACATTAAAGGGGAAATGTTTGTTTTTTTATGATTCATCATTACCAAATTTTTTTTACATCACAAAAATCTAACATTGGAAGAAAGGTTTGTAGATTGTTTTGTCGCTACATGGGCAATGTGTGGTTTTCTGCACTGTGAGCCAGCTAGCTTTAGCAGTTAGCTTAGCTGCACAAATAAAAAAAAAAGCTGCATCTTTGTGGAATGGACTCGCAGGCCACAGTTTAGTTATTAAGAAAACTGTAATTCCCACAGTAATTATATGTTTTTGTTTATTCCTTTAAAAAAAACATCTAACAAGTTAAGCCCTGCATCCTCATTCCGCCATCGCTTTCCAGCTAGCTTAAAAGTGTGTTGGAAAGCGGTATCCGGAGCGTGAGGCGTGTGTTGAGGTGGAGGTTATCTGTCTGTCTGCCTGCCTCTCTCTCTGTCTGTCTGTCTGGCGGGCGGACAGGAGTGGGCCAGATGTGAAGCCGGGCTTTGTAGAACAGATTAAGCTCCCACAGCTGAGGAGAGCCAGACGAGGCCAGGCTGAGCCGAACAGCCTGCTGTCTACGCTCCACATCACACCGCCCTCCTTCAAACCTCCATCGGCTTAGCAGAGCATCAGCAGCTGCTCACAGTTCAAAACAAGGAGTTCTGCCTGTGTAGAGCGTCAAACGCACGCACCGTTGACAGGAATACGGCTGGTAATTGGTTAGTTGTAAAAAAAAACAAAAAACAAACACGTCTTACACGTTAGTAATTCAGTTTTGGAGATATTGTTGTTGCTTGTCTTGATGTTGTCACACCACTGTTGTTTCTGCGCTGTTAGAAAACCAAAAAAATTGTCATGCTGGTAATCTGGTCCCTAGGTCCTGTGATTATTCCTGGATTAAACTTCTTCGTACCCTTTTTATTGGATTGAGTCTGCACCTCCTTCCTGAAAAAATCATTGGAAATATGTTGCCCTTACTAAACAGGAAAATCTCATCAAAATTGACTCTGAACAGCATCCCGGTACTGTGGTTTCCGCACCGTTTTGCGTAGAACGGTGCGGTAACTTTGGCTAACCTTCTTCTCCAGGAGAAGATCAGCCTTTCGGAGGGCAGCACCGTGGACATGAGGAAGCCTGGAGAGGAGGAAGACGACCTATCGGAACTGGACGATGACAGTATGGAGCCGGAGGATTGCTTCCCATACTGTGAGTAAACTTCATACAACTTTCCGAAGAACTGTCATATTTAGAAATAACATTATGGTGTTCACCTGGAGAACGGCCTGCCCTGGAGATGCAACAGTAAAGCTGTCTAAGATAAGGGACGGAGCAGACGGTGCTCTTTAGGAAGCTTAGGTTCTCCACTGTTTGCAGCTAGCTGCTGTATATCTTCTGTAAGTCCATAGTGGACATCTCTTCTGCCATTACCTGTTGGGGTAGCAGCATCAAAAAATGGGACTTAAAAAAGCTAAACAACTTGATGAAGAATGCTATTTCTGTGATACAGACAATGCAGCAAGTAAGCATACACAATCTGCATGATGTCTGCCTGTCCTTAGAAAGTCTTAAATTTATGCATCTAAAATTAAAGCCTTAAAAAGTCTTAAATTCATAAAAATGTAAGTTGGACATAAATGCGTGGATCACAGGTCTTAAATTTTGTCTTGGCAGGACTTTTTATGTAGTTTTCTGTCACACAAAAGTTTGAATCACTCAAGGACATCTTCACTTTGTTTTGTGACTCGAGGCAGTTGAGGCTACCGCCATCAAGCTACTAATATACTGTTGTAAACCAGCTAGCAAAAAAGCTAGATACCCTGCTTTTTTGCGACTATTATAGGTAAGTGCAAATTTATTGCCAGTTTGTTTTCGCCACTGGCTCACTTCCCTCACTTCTAGCCTGCAGTCTGATCCAAAAAATACATTTAAGCTTGACCCTATGGCTGTAGAGAGAAACATGCACAAAGACGCACAGAGCCACAAACAAACTTCAGAAATGTCATAATTTATGCTATGCTGTAATACTGCAGGAGCCCCAAACCATACCTTATATTTCTATATTTTTTTGGTCTTAAAGATTAATTCAAGGTGGCATTTAAAAGGTCTTAAGTATGATGTCCTGAAACCTGCCGGTACCCTGACCTATTCAGACAGACGTTATGTTTGACACTCTTGGCCTAAGCCGTGTTTGTGCAGGTTCAGCAAAAGATCAACCACAAGTTGTAATTGGAAACTATCAGTCTGAACAAAACCCGAGGGGGAACTAAACGATGACGGTAGCCTCTTGCTACATGAACGTTTGAATATGTTTGAAATCACTGCATCAGTCAAATGAAAATTTTTGTTCAAAGCCACTTTTGTCTAACCTCCGTCTTCGATGTTGCGTCAGTGTGTCTGAGGCACTGTTCGTGCTGCGACATCGACACCAGCCGTGGCCTGGGCCAAGCCTGGTGGAGGCTGAGGAAGACCTGCTACCAGATCGTAGAACACAGCTGGTTTGAGACCTTCATCATCTTCATGATCCTGCTCAGCAGCGGGGCTCTGGTAAAGTCTGTCCTGATCGGCGGTTAGCACCAGCTGGAAATGTTTTCATGCTCCAGCGATCTGATTGGCCGGTTGTCTTCTTTTCCGGCAGGCGTTTGAAGACATCTACATCGAGAGGAGGAAAGTCATTAAAGTGATGTTGGAGTACGCCGACAAAGTCTTTTCCTACATCTTCGTCCTGGAAATGTTCCTCAAGTGGATAGCATATGGCTTCAAGAAATATTTCACCAACTACTGGTGCTGGCTGGACTTCCTCATTGTGGACGTGAGTGAATGTCTGGCTATCGTTAGTGTGATTATTTAATCTTTTTATGAAAGGTTCCTGTTTTGTTTTTTTAAACACTTTGGTATTACAGGTTGAGTCATGATTCATTACAATATAGCTGCATTTTCTGTCGGGTTGGTGCTTCATTTCAGTGCGTTGCATAAGTATTCATAACTCTTTTTGTCACATTACAATCACAAACATAAATTTATTTCTATGAGATTTCATGTGATGGTACGAAACAAGTCCATGATTTTCACGTTTTTTTTTTTTTTTTACATATGAAAATCAGAAAAGTGTTGCAGACATGTATATTTTCCTTACCTTACCTTTATACTCCGAAAAAATCTCATTGCAGCCAAATGCTTTCAGTTTTCACATCCTGCGTCAATAGCTTGTAGAACAACCTTTCACTGCAGTTGCATCTGCAGATTCTTTTGGGGAAAATTTTTCTTCCAACTTTGCAGATCTATAAACTGAAATTTTGGTTGAATTAAGGTTAACAAAGTATCTCCAGTTTAGTCACTGTGGAGTCAGTTTTCTTTCTAAATATTCCCATCTGGATTCAGATCAGATCGGCTCTTATTTTGCCACTTTTCCAATAACAGTTAAATTTGTAGTTATGTCTGAGTCATGCATCTCTGTAGCTCCTCCAGAGGTAAAATTGGCCTCTTGGCTGCTTAGAAACTTGAGATATTATTTTGTAACCAAACTTTTTCATAACTTAACAGTTTGCTGTGTTCCTTGGTCTAAATAATATTGTTTGTTTATTGTTTTATGCATGTGGAAATTTACTTTGTGTAAATTAGTTTATGTCTGACAGGCAGCTGGTTCACAGGGTGTCTGCAAATGCACCACTGCACACTTCTTTTTAATTTGAAAACTTTTCATTGACTTACTTCCTTATTTGTGTCGATATACCATCCATCCATCCATCCATCCATCCATCCATCCATCCATCCATCCATCCATCCATCCATCCATCCATCAGCTTCTGCTTAACACACAGAAGCTTGTGGTTGTAATGTGACATAATGTTAAAAGGTTCATGGGTTATGCATAATTTTGCAGTGCACTGTATTATCAGAAAAAGGGTTTGACTGTTTATTTCTAACAAGTCTAAGTCTATAAAATGTTCAACCCCTGTCTTTACCAACCCTTTAGCTATTTTTCTGTTCCCGAAGAAGCTAACTAGAGCACAGCTTACCAAACTTTTCTTTGCCATGTACCCACGAACGGCGTTGGCTTCTAGCTGGAGACGCCTTTTGCAAGTCCACAGACAATTCTACAAAATATGTGGAGAAAAATCAACTTTTAGAATGTTTTTCTTGCTTTAATTCACTATATATTGGTCATTACATTTGTTTAAATGCTGCCTCATATCTCCTAATATGAGGTTTCTTGTGCATGACCAGGAGTTGTGGTGGAAAATTTTCCTGGTAATAAAATTTCACCACAATTCTATTGATTATAAGAAAATATGTAATATTTTATATGTATTACATCAAATTTGATGTAATTTCCACAGACGTTTTTGCAGCAGTGACCTGTACAGCTACTTGCATCTTTTGCTTGACAGACATTTTCCATTTCTCATTTGCTAAGTTAGCTTCAGGAGCAAAGCGGCTCGATACATTTGACTGGCAGCCAATCAGAAAGATTAGCACTGCAAATCACATTTCAATAAATTATTTTAACTTATAATTTAGGATAATGATTGAAAGACATTACATTAAAATTTTTAAATCTAAAATAGTGGTGATTTAAAAACATTTTTAGTTTTGCTTTTTTATTTTCTCAACTTCCCTCCAACTTTCTGAGGCCCCGACTTTGAGAAGCACCGCAGTGGAGTTTCCACTGACACAAATTATGATCCTTTGTGTCAGGATTTTTTCCCAATTTTTTTGTTATTTTCTTAAGGCATTAAAAGAAGGTAGGAAAAAAAATGTTGTTGTAAAAAAAGATTTTTATTTTATTTTATTTTATGTCGGTGATAAATTATAATTTTCTCCAAATACAAAGTTATTATTTGAAAAATACATCAGCAGTATTGATCTTTAGGGGTTATCTGATGTCACAATTTCTTTTTTACCTACAAGAGTCGTCTACAGTAGAAGGAGGGACCGGGTCAGTCAGCATGCTTTGTTGTCTGTCAGCCATATTGGATTTAACAAAAATAATTTCTTGCATTTGCAGCTGATGGCCAGAAGTTGATGGTGTATTTTATGATGCATTAGTGTCCACTTCAGTGGACTGTGTGCATTTATAACATAAAAATCCACAAGACGCACAAGAAAATGGCTTTTAGACGGCTGTCCACTGTAGTGATCACTATGCATGAAAGGGTTACGTTTCACTTACTGTAAATCAGTGTGGCTTTGTGGTGCACACATCCAAAGTGGTCGAGGCGTGCAGCCACAGGCCTGACTTGACCTCTTCTGATTTCACCTGCTGTTACACAGATCGCCACAGACCGCACTATTGTTAGGGTAAGTTGCAGCTAGCAGGTCAAAGGTGAGTGTGGGATCTGGGATCACACTCAGCCCGTGTGTTTCTTCTTCACTTGCATCTGCTGCTTTGTTGTGATATTAAGGCCTCCGTCTTGTCTCTAAGCGAATCGATTGGGTATGAAATGCGAAGAGAACAAAACATGCTTGGCTTTTATATCAAAAGCAAATGCAGCGCCATGTGCTCCGAGGACTATCTACAGAAGATCTTGTTCATGCCGTGAAGGACAATAAAGTTATGAAAAGTGCCTGATCATAACAGGACCTTGCAACAATATTCATACTCTTTCAACTTTGCCACATGCAACCTCATGTCTGAGGCTGTTTCACATGGAAGGTTTAAAACATGCAATCACTCTGTGATGTAAAACTTAGAAAGGCCCAGTCAAAGTCTAGGCCTAAAGCCAATTGATCATCTTTGCTGAGACCTGAAAATTGACGTTCACAGACATTTTACATCCAATCTGATTGAGTTTGAGTGATTCTGAAAAGAGGAATGAGCAAATCCTTAATCAGAAAAGACGCAAATCCCCCCAAACACCTGCAGTGTGGCTGCAGCAAAAGGCGATTCAATCGCTGTGACTGTATTGACTCAGATGCAAATCAGAGATCCAAACGCATGTGATGCTTTATTTCAGATGTTTAGTAGTACAAAAAATGTTGTATTAGTATCACTTTCCTTCCACCAGTTTGTTATGCGTTGCATTGCGCTAGTCTGTTGAAGCCTTGAAGTTTGTGGTTGTAATTTAAGAAAATGTGGAAAAGTTTAAAAGTTATGGATACTTTTGCAAGGCACTGTGCTTTTTTATTACTGTAATTTTCATTTGTGTAAATTTATCGGTTGAATTAACACCTGCTGTGTTTTAACTACAGTGGAACAAAACATTTATTTATTTATTTATTTATTTATTTATTTATTTATTTATTTATTTATTTATTTAATTTATTTATTTTTTGGTCTGACTGTAATTATGCCACTTTATTATAATTTTATTATTCAGTTTTCTTTCTTTTTTCTTTTTTTTTTGACTTACACTTTTTTGGAGCCAAAGTTGCCCAGAAAATAACAACTGAGTATCTTCTTTAGATATATTGGCCCAACACATCTCTTAATAGACTTTTATAAAGAAATTCAGGACATTGGTGCCTCTAAGCCTTAAATTGGTTTTGATTCCTGGATGTGATCAGCTTAACACAAATTCGGAAACAATTTGACAAAGATTTAGAAGTTCTTTATAAAACTCCCTCTATTTGATATATATCCATATTTATATGCATATATAGCTGAGTATGCATGCATGGACTCCCCTTGGCCATGTGTGCATACTTGTCTGTGTTTCGTCATGACATGAGCTTCCTCTGTCTGTCATTTTTGTCATGCCATTTTCATTTATAGCTGCCATCCATGGGCCATTCAACAGAGGAATACCATTTTGTTTTGTCTGTTCTGGATATAGAATAGAGTGGAAGTTTAAATTAGCTACAACTAAAAGACAAACCAAATCTAAACCAAATTTTTAATAGGTGTTTTCCTGACTGTGGAATGTCCCAAAGCTACACACAAAAAAAAAAAAAAAAAAACACCAAATATGGCTCCATAAACGTTTTGGCAAGTCTTCTTTGATTTATGTTATATATTCCTTTGGTTTTTATGATTTTTCAGCTTCTTTTCATTGGGTTTTACATAATACTGACTTTTAAAAAAAATTATTTTGTCTGTAAAATTGGTTTGTGGGTTTTGGTTTGTGTTTAGGTGTCTCTGATAAGCCTGGTTGCAAATTCACTGGGATACTCGGACTTCTCCGCCATCAAGTCACTGCGAACCCTCCGGGCCTTGAGGCCTCTCAGAGCACTGTCCAGATTTGAGGGCATGAGGGTAAGAGACTAATGTGCATGTCTCCCACTGTTGATGCCTTTGCAAAGAAAATGCTGTTGAATGTACTGACTTTTACCCTCAACTGCAGACCAAGTTCAGTTTAATCTCAAGAGCTGAAATGCAACCTGAACTATGAGGCTTCACGGATGCAAAAAGCGAAGAGAGAAGGAGGAATGCAAACTATCTGGTCCATGGGGAAAGATCATATTTCCGCTTTCTAACCGTACAGTCAGCCAGTCAGAGGTTTACAGAGGAGTGGTGATAGCAAACGAGGCGGATTAGCAGAGTTTGCCAAAATTGGTGATGCCATGACATTCATGAGACTGTCATACAACAACAGGCTTCAGTCAGATGCTTCTTCAGACTTGTTGCAAGACTGACTGCTACCAGAGATCCTTCCTGCCCTCAGCATCAGCATTCACACTGACTCATTGATGATGCTTGCGTGATATAAGTCAGCATTTAATTTCACCTTAGATTACGTGAAACGTAAATGAGTTGTGTTAAGTTGAGTTGAACTGGATCCAATTGAGTTGAATTGACTTGACAACATACCTTCACATCTCGCATTTAAATAGTAACTCTGGGATGTAAGGTCATTTTATTTATATAGCACGTTTTCAGCAACAAGGCAACTCAAAGTGCTTTACGTGAATTAGAGGAAATACAAACAAGATAACAAAAGAAAGCAAGAGAAAAACAAAGAAGCACACAACTTATAAACTAGTAGGGGTTTCTCTGGATAAACTAATAGGAAAGGAAAGTAAAAGTATAAAACTACATGTTGGCTCCCCATGTTTTAAGAAGAATAAATAGTCCATCATTTATAAACTTGTAGGGGTTTCTCTGGATTCCTGTTCTGATAAAACTACACGTTGGTTCTCCACATTACTTTCTGAAGTAGTAGCTCCAGTATGGCGCTAGAGAGGAAATAGTTTGGATGAATATGTACTAACTCTTCTCGCCTCTTTACCCTACAGGTGGTGGTGAATGCCCTGATCGGAGCCATTCCCTCCATTATGAACGTGCTTCTCGTGTGTCTTATCTTCTGGCTCATCTTCAGCATCATGGGAGTCAACCTGTTCGCTGGCAAGTTTGGGAAGTGCGTGAACAGAACGGGCTTTATCCACAGCGTCTCGGTGGTTAACAATAAGTCTGATTGCCTCGCCATGAACGACACGCAGTTCTACTGGACAAAGGTGAAGGTCAACTTCGACAATGTTGGACTCGGCTACCTTTCCCTTCTGCAAGTGGTGAGTTTCTCTCTGCTGTCAGAATGTTGTTTTTTTTCCCTTCATGTTAAAATTTATTAATTAGGTTCATTGCTGCCAGGAGTTACACTTAAAAACAGTTTCTCACACGGTAACACATTAAACATCTTGGTGTCTACTAATGTAGCTTTAGATCAACTTATACGGATTTATCTATAGGTTTCAAATAGTCCTGTCAGCAATGCAGCTCAGACAAACATTTCGATGATGAACGATTTAACGATTAACAAATTGCTCCGATCATACAGTGATGTGTTCTGTTTCTAGGCAACGTTTAAAGGATGGATGGAAATCATGAATGCTGCCGTTGACTCAAGAGGAGTAAGTGTTTGCCACTCTGTTCAGGGTCTGAATATTATTTTATTTTTCCTCAGCAAACAGTTCACTGATGAAACCATTTGCAGGTGGAGGAGCAACCCAGCAGAGAAATCAACCTCTACATGTACCTCTACTTTGTCATCTTCATCATATTCGGCTCTTTTTTTACCCTCAACCTCTTCATCGGGGTCATCATTGACAATTTCAATCAACAAAAGAGAAAGATAAGTATTTAAAGCACTGCTGTTGTCGAGTTTGGATGAGTCGTTTTTGTTTGACCCATAAATTAAACATGCAAAGCTCAGCACATTTTAGCTGCTTCCTTTGGACAGTTGAAGAAAAGTAGCAACCAGTTGTGTGTGCTAGCACGATGCCAGGGTGGGAAGACATCAGCACCTGCCTTAGAGAAGTAATTGCTGATTACTTCTCCATTTTCAAACCAGTTCTTGCTCATTTATGAGTGAAAAACAAAAATGCAGAAATAGAACTGCATGATTTTAGAAAATAAGGTGATGGCGACACTATTGGTAATAATTACGCTCATTTTTTACTGTACACTTTGTGACATTTAGCCTCTTGGGTGCTGTAATCTATTCTAGTGACAGATTTTAATAATGGAAACACTTGTACTGTGATTATTATTACCGAGATATTGTGCGGCCTTACTAAGGAGTCCAACACAGATTAGTTACAAGGTCAAATCACACGATGATTTCAATTGGAACACTCAAAACAAAAAAAAAGTTAATGGAAAACGATGTTCTAAGGAGAAATCTCTTCTGTACTCTCATTAAATATGTTTAAAAGCTAGAGCTTGACCTCTACTGGGTCAAGAAAAGAGCAACGATCAAAAGCATAGCAGCAACTCAACAACACAATGACTTTGTTGTAAGTCTTAGTCAAACTGTGGTGCTACCTTAAGATAGCTCTGCACTGTGCCTGGAAGCCTCCATGACCCGAGGCAACGTTGTGAAAAACATTAGATCGAGATTCCTCCACAGCTATGTCAGAGACTGAAAAGACAGGAAATGGTTCCTTCAAGTTACTTCTGCTACTTTTCCATGACTCTAAGCTGCCTCAACTCTGGATCTGCCTGAAAAAAGTTTCCATATCTACTAACAGACAATGAATAAATCAATAAAAAAATTTAAAAATGAATTTAAAAATGAGGCGAATGTACTCGTAATGTGATGTTTTGGTTTTATACTTAGGTGGACAGGATATTTTCATGACTGAGGAACAAAAGAAGTACTACAACGCAATGAAAAAGTTGGGATCTAAGAAACCTCAAAAGCCAATCCCAAGGCCTGCGGTAAAACAGAACATGTCGCAGTGTCAACCCCTCCCTTTTTTATACTTGTGAATTGCTCCTCTGATGTAAGATTATGGTTTTTATGGACTGAGCGTTTGCATTCTCCAAAATTCCAGAACATCCTCCAAGCCTTCTTCTTCGATCTGGTGTCCAAGCAAGCCTTCGACATCATGATCATGATGCTCATCATCGTCAACATGGTGACCATGATGGTGGAAACCGACGAGCAGTCGGAGCGGATGGAGTCTGTCCTCAACATCATCAACCTGGTCTTCATCGTTATCTTCACAACCGAATGCCTGATTAAGCTCTTTGCTCTCCGATGTTACTTCTTCACTGTTGCATGGAACATTTTTGACTTTGTGGTCATCATTCTCTCTATTATTGGTAAGGATCATCTTCTTACGCCCATCGTATTGAAGGGAACTTCAACAGGGTGGAGGCTTTTAGTAGACAGACGTTATTTGGTGTGGCGATATCTTTCCATGGTCAACTCGATAAGGCTCTGACCTGCAGATAGCAACTTTACTTTTGATTAACAACAAATATTTTTTTTTCCAATTTCTGTTATATTAAAAAGGTCTGTCTTAACAAGAATATTTTTGTAGTTACTGAAACTGTAATTTTGTCCAAACTGTCCCAACCTCAAAATGTAGAAGCACGATACATCACACAAATACATTAAATCTTTTCCCAAAGATTGACATTGCATAGCTCTACAGTTTAGCAAGGTTTTAAAACAAGACAACATGATTAAAGCATCTTAGCATCTTTTTAACCTTCATCATGATAAGCATAATTAGCACTGTTGGCTACTAACTGTCAATCTTTGTGTATGTGGAGTTAGTAGGCCATTATCTTAATTGTAAAATTTTGAAATATACTTTATAGTCCAGTTTGTTCTCTGGAAAATAGGGCTGAGCCTTTCAAAGTATGAGAAAGAAAGACTTTACTGTAATACATGCAGCCAGCTTTTCGTTATCAACAACGCCCACACCAAATAATGTTGGGTTAGTTCAACCTGTTCGATCAGTAAACACGCAAGTGTTTAAAAAAGATCTGACTACTAGTTTCTGACTAGTTGATCACAGATCAGATGTTTGTATGTCTCTTATTAAGTCATTGTTGGGGAAAAAAATCACACAATTTATCTGATCTGTTCTCACTTGGTTTTCCTCTCAATTCAGGGATTGTCCTCGCTGACATCATTGAGAAGTACTTTGTATCTCCAACGCTGTTCCGAGTCATCAGACTGGCCAGGATAGGACGTGTACTTCGACTTATCCGTGCAGCCAAAGGAATAAGGACTTTACTGTTTGCCTTAATGATGTCCATGCCAGCACTGTTCAACATCGGCCTCCTGCTTTTTCTCGTAATGTTCATCTACGCCATCTTTGGCATGGCGAACTTTGCCTACGTGAAGAAGCAAGACGGGATTGATGACATGTTCAACTTTGAGACCTTCGGGAACAGCATCATCTGCCTTTTTCAGATCAGCACCTCAGCAGGCTGGGACAACCTCCTGAGCCCCATCATGTCCAGCCCCCCGGAGGAGTGCGACATCAACTTCGTCAACACCGGCACCAATGCCCGCGGAAACTGCGGGAACCCATCGGTGGGCATCGCTTTCTTCGTGAGCTACATCATCATCTCTTTTCTCATCGTGGTGAACATGTACATAGCCATCATCCTGGAGAACTTCAGCGTTGCCACCGAGGAGAGCACAGAACCTCTGAGCGAGGATGACTTTGAAATGTTCTACGAGGTCTGGGAGAAGTTCGACTCTGAGGCCACTCAGTTCATAGAGTTCTCAATGCTGGAGAGGTTTGCCGACGCGCTGTCGGAGCCGCTGCGGATCGCGAAACCCAACAAGATCCAACTGATCTCCATGGACCTTCCCATGGTGAGCGGGGATAAGATCCACTGCCTGGACATCCTATTTGCGTTCACAAAACGCGTACTGGGGGAGTCGGGTGACATGGACACCCTCAAGCAGCAGATGGAGGAGAAGTTCATGATGACCAACCCGTCTAAGGTCTCCCACGAGCCCATCACTTCGACGCTGCGCCGCAAAATGGAGGAGGTGTCTGCGGTCATCATCCAAAGGTGCTACAGGAGGCATCTGGTGCGGCGGCAAATGAAGCAGGCGTCTTACCTCTACAGACAAATCAACTACGAGACGGCGGTGGATGTGGACAACGCTCCAGAGACGGAGGGGCTCATAGCGTCCATGATACAGCACTTCGTTCCCATAGCGATACAAGTCGAGCAGACAGCGGAAGACTCGCTGCTGTCCTCACCGCCATCTTACGACAGCGTGACTTGGGGGGCCGGTGTAAGCCCCTCTGCTACAGTCAGAACCGCATCTCGAGGCCCCGAAGTCGGGGACCCGACCGAAAACTACGAGGAAACATTTCTTTGAGACTGCATCGAGACGGATTGAATCGATTGAGCAATAATTCATGTTAAACTGATTTTTTTTAAATGGTTTTATAAGACGCAGAGGATATATGCAATTTTTTTAAAGTACAGTAGCTCACAGCCTCTATTTTAGTAGAAAGACGATCCTGAGTAAATGTAACCTTCACATCGACAATAGGTTCTATAGTTAATATTTTCAAAACGCCTCTGGGAAAGTTGTAGGGATGTTTTTGGTCAATCTTACGGTGATATGAAGGTCAGCATTTAAATTCCAAACTACATCAGAACAGTGAACCACTCCATGTGCAGTTTTTACATGAAGGGTGCTTGTAGGTTACAGGCAGTCTCATTGTTTTATACTCAACTTATCTGCACTTTAACCAAAACACTGGATGGTAATTTTGTTGATTGTATTAAAAAGTAAGTTCTTTAATTAATAGTCCTCTAAAGTTTCCCATTCATTTGGCACTCGTAGATCTGCGATATTGGAGCATTTTCAATGTAAAGGGATGATGCTGGTGAAGGGGATGCAAAGCGCTTTACGATGCATTTCTCCATTTTGTTCAGATCTCTGTTGTTAGGTTGCCTTCTCCTTGGTTGCTGTGACTCGTGTGAAATGCAAAAATGTAGAACGTTCAAACTTTCAAGCACATTTGTATCAACCAAACGTAAATGCTTTGTCAAAAAAAAAAGAAATTGCATAATCATCAACTTCGTATTTGCATTTTGAACATTTTTCTCAGATTTCTCATGTCTCTGTGCATCTATAGAATGTAGGTCTAGTTTTGAGCAGAAGATTTTACATAAAAAGGGACGAGCTGTAAAATTATCTAGGAACTCCCTTTAAGTCTACTGAAAATATTTTTGTATGGCGAGTTTAATTTACTTATTTATGAATTAAATTTATTCAGAAACTGGTCAAAAAAACTGGGCAAAAAAAAAAAGAAAAAAAGAAAAAAAGAAAAGTCAAAGGTCTTTAAACTTTTTTTTAAATAATTACAAAGAAAATGACAAGAAAAATGATTTGGCTCATAGTTTGTACCAATTTTTCCACAGAGCTGAGACCAGGTTATGAAAACTGCATGTATTATGTAGCCATTGTTGACAATATCCAACATTTTCAAACCAGTCTAGACCAATGGCCGCTTCCACATACTGAGACAGTGCCTGTAGTGCAAGAGTATTCAAACACTCTAAAAACAAATTAAAGCATTAAACCTACACCTCTGACTTTTCTGCAACAGAATAACACAATGTAGCATCTAATTGTAAAGAGAAAGAAAAGAGATGTTGGTTTCCACGTTTCTTTTCATTCAGATCCTTAAATTTAACATTTGTTGACTTATCTGATGACAGCTTCATGTCTTCCTCACATCTACCAGGTTTCCATCCTGCGTTCAAACATCATTTAGCTTCGCCTGTCAGAAAAGAAGGACAGATCTGATTTTCCTGAGCTACTTTCTGTTGCTCAATCACATCATAAAACCAGATCAAATATACATTAATCTGGCTGCGGCCGGTTCATGAGGCATGAATACTTTTGAGCGGCTCTGTAGACGATTGTTGTGTCGCTCCAGCCTGGCCAAATCTGACTTCAAGTTATGGCTGCTGCCTGTACTTCATCTTGAAAACCCAAATGTATACTCTGAACATCAAAAGTCCAAAAAAGTTTTATAAGAGGAGCAGGAACAGAATGAAGAGGTGTAAGGATTCGAGGATTTTTAAAAAATTTTTTTATTGTTATACCACCTTGCTTGTTTTGTTAATGAAATTTGGACTCAGGTCCCAGATTAAGAAATTTACTGTAAAACCCCAAAGAGAGCTATTTCTGTGAAATGAAAATAAAGGCCAGTATTTATTAATCTATACAACACAACACCATCAATGTCAAATCTACCTTAAAGCACATCGTTTTAATCCAAACAGTAACTTGAAGATTGATCAAATTGTTTCTAATATGCTGTTTTTAATATAGTACAAAGGCAAAAGTCTTTAAATATTATCTGGTATTATTATCTGATTACAGCCAATATTTAGAGTTTGCTAATGTCGACTTAATGGTATCATTTTAATCAAATCAAATATTTGTTCCATGGCAAAGTTTAATAATTTATGTTAAGGCTAAACAGATGGATGCTTATCAATAAATGAAATTATTTTTTAGAATGTCAGATTTGACATATCCAGTTGACCTTTTGTTTTCAACTTTAAGAAATATTCTATATTTGGGTTATATCGTTTACTTCAAAAATATACAAATAAATGATTTGCTGGGTAGTCATCATGCTTACTTCAGAGAACAGGGTGGATTAAGTGATATTTACCACATCGATAAATCGAGTGTCTGTTGTTCGGCAGCGTCGCGTGTGCTGACAACCCCTAATTCATGTGCCTGATGTTGATCGTTGCCCGCTCACTCCTCTGACTGCTTCATTTGATCAGATGGGGGTGGATTTTTGGAGTGAAGTGAATGCACTGAAAGCTAATTTTTATAAGCTTGTGAAGAGGTTTAAGGCTAATTTCTAGCTTTTTTTTTTTTTTTTTTTTTTTTGTAAAGTGTTTCTAATAAAAAAAATTAAAAAAAAAACAGTGGTTCATTATGACCATAGCTAGGTACAATCAGATGACGTAAAATAAATAAATAAATAAAAAAATCTAGGCTCATTTTTTTTGTATGCAATATTTTATCCTTGAGAAGATGATTGTTTGTATCGCATTTATGAGAAGTTATTCATGGATTGTTTTAATCGGTTGTAATAAAACTCTTTTCTTATATCTGCGGCCTGTGAGTAAATGTTGCAGGAGAAGCTGGTTAGGTGACCTCGTCGCATTTATTTCATTCTCCTTTTTCTCTCTTTAGGACTTCATCCGCTGATTTAAAATAAAAAAAATACATTTAAGTTTTTAGGGCTCTCAGGTTTTTAGTTAAAAAAAAAAAAAAAAGAAGGAACATTTCAACAAGGTTGCCAATTTGGACTTAGCCCTGAAGAGATTTCCTCTCTCTGGTTGTCAGGGTGGTCAAATCCAACTCTGACCAGCTGGGGTAGGAGGATAATCTGTATGTTAAAAAAAAAATCACTTGTTTTAATTACACACACACAAACACAGAGACTGCCTTTTTCTCCCATCCTTTCTCTCTCTCTCTCTCACACACACACACTTATACGTACAGTCTCCGTGTGCAATCGTATGCATAAACAAATCACATGTACTCTTTGCAAGCCGTCCTCATGATTACGCAAAATTTAATTCGGATCTGTGCATAAACTGACTGACTGTGCCTCGGTAATTGATCAGATTTTTTTTTTTTTTTTTTTTTTAAGCGTTTGTACATGTGGAGGAGATTAAAGCTTCGTCTGTATGGGATTTTTTATTTTTTTTTAAGATTAGAAAGGCACTATGTCTAATTACAAAATGCACCAGCATGCAGTGAAACAGCAATGTCACTGTAATGAGTTTGCAAATCGACTGTGTACATGCTGAGCAGGCGAATGACTTTCAGCGAACTGCTACTCATGCTGCTTAATTTGAAATGCCATGTGTGACACTGTTCAGTGGATAGCTTGTGAGTATTTATTTATTTTTTATTATTAGGAATTATTTGAATGTGAACCTTAACACATTCAACTTTTTGGTTTATCTCTCATAAATCAAAAAGTGAGGAAATTAGAGTTTGGGTTCGTTATTTCTTTTGTTGTAACATTGTTTCCTGACAGTATGAATGAAACCTCTGGATAGCCCATGTGTTAACCTGTTAAATCCTGTGAGAAAAATCCATTTTTGGCTTGAGCAGCAGTGAGGAAGACACTACCCCACAGCATCACACTGCCTCCACCAAAAGAATTGACGTTGACAGAGAGGATGACATCGATAGAGAAGATTGGACAGGTTTTATATGGGAGCAATTCTTCTAACCAGATGCTGTGTTTCCTTTTCTGGTAACTCTTCAAAACAGATCAGCCCTTTTGTAACAGCATAGATGTGGGTAGAGTAGCCAAAACTTGTACTCAAGTAAAAGTAGCATTACATTAACATATTTTTACTCAAATATAAGTAAAAAAAAAAAAAGTAGCTATTTTATTTAGTAAAAAGTCTCCTGAAGTACTAAGTAACTGATCAAAACATCATTCACATAATATCTAACAATTACATCATCAGATGGACCAAAATATAGTTATTTGTAAGTTTTAGTATTTTAAGCTCTCAAATGAAAAATAATTCACATAAATAACATAATTACAAAATAACAAAATCAGGGAAATTTTTTTTCTTTTTCAAAATCACATTCAAAATAAAACTTATGAAACTCTAACAAAAACTGCAGGTGTGTGTCTGTGTCTAGTGAATTTTTGGTTAAGACATGTTTGTTTTTTATTCAGTGAAGTTACTCACAGTGGATTGAGTATCTAGGAATTTTACTCAAGTAAGAGTAGCAATACTTGAAAAATAATAGTACATAAGTACTGACAAAACATTACTCAAGTAACAGAGTAAATGTCACTAGCTATTACCCAATTGTGCAGTCAAATATTTATCATACAAATCTTTATGTATAGTTTGTAGAGTCTGAGGTTATATGTTTGCAATATGTTCATAAAATACCATGAATAATCACTTGTGTATTTTTCACCAGTAAATTACCTTTGTCAAAATAGTCTGGAATGGCCTTCCGGTCTTTTCCAGATTGAGAGAATTTCTTTGTTTCTTTACTTGGATCAGGTAATTTACTCTCAATTGCAGAACAAATTTCAGTATATAAAAAAAGGGTTAACATTAAATCATAAAACAGATAATAGATTAAGTTAGGAGGCTGAACTCATAAAAGCCTGAGAATTTAATGACGAAGAAAAAAAAAAGACAGAGCCTTTTAGGTACAGTCGTTCTCCTGTCAATCAGCGTGCAGCGCAGGGATTTACTTAGTCATGGTGGCTAACAGCGCCCAGATGGCCTGATGATGCACTATCTAATTACTTGTCCTACGAATCTTCTGTTAAGGATAAGTGCTCTCTGAGCCACAGCATTTTTCAGTTCCTACACTGCCACCACGTGGACACTCCACAGATTGCAGCTACAGATCAGTCTGAAAAATAGACATTTTTACAGGCTTCCTGCGCAAGCTGGAAACTACAGAAGGCAGAATTCAAGCGTGAACGAGAACAGACCTACATGGTCGTCTAAAAGTCTAATTTATCCGTCTGGCCGTTTCAGTAAATTACCTTAGTTTGTGGCTCGCAAGTTCAAAGGATATAAATACAAATCCCTGCAAATTGTAGCCAATTAAAAAGACGACAAAACTGTAAAATGCAGTTCTTTGTGGGGGGTTTTCCCCCCAAACTCTCCTCTTCTAACATTAATCTCTCCATTGGAGCAGTGACTGTTTTCATCATTTTCTCAAAGCCTGCATCATCCAGTTCTTGTTTACACTCTCGGATGGTTGCACACAGTGTGCTGTTTGTGGAAAGTGACGAGTTCTTACCAATTATTTCCTTCTGTTAAATCCTTCAGGACAGAGGTCCGATCTGTCCTGAAATACGCTGCACAAAAGCAAATCACGGTTTCATCAAATGTGGCAGCAGCTTCTGGTTTGTAAGGGAAAAGTTTCAATACCGGTGTGTTCACAAGGGTCAAAGGTTTCACCGTTTGTGTGGGGAAAAGCTTTAAAAAGATGCACAGACCGAGTTGCATCTTAGCATTCGGAGTGTACC